CATGGGTTATGTAACATAACTACGAATCCTAGTCATGGGTTATGTAACATAACTACGAATCCAAGTCATGGGTTATGTAACATCACTAGGAATCCAAGTCATGGGTTATGTAACATCACTAGGAATCCTAGTCATGGGTTATGTAACATAACTACGAATCCTAATCATGGGTTATGTAACATAACTATGAATCCTAATCATGGGTTATGTAACATAACTATGAATCCTAATCATGGGTTATGTAACATAACTATGAATCCTAATCATGGATTATGTAACATAACCAGGAATTTTTATTAAAGATTGTGCAACATAACTACGAATCCTAGTAATCTACACATTTCATTGATTTAAGGTTTTCCTCAGAGATGGTCATCTAACCTGTAGTTTAATCTTAGAATAATTATTTTAAAACATAATTAATATGTTATCATGTAAAAACCAATTTCATAAAAAATTTAAAATGTTCATTGTAAATTTAATGAATGATTTAACAATACATATGATATCAATCAAAACAAGAACTAATTAAACGTAACATTGAAACCAAGAATGATAAATAATGCAATATAGTAATTAGACAATCATTCTATATTTAAAACATGATAACAATGGCTTAAGAAGATAAACCTTTGGTGAAGCAACAAGAAGATCAAATTCTGCCGGTGAAGACTGAAGTATAATCTCTTCATATTTTTCTGTCAAATTAAAGTAACCAGAGGCTAATTTGATGATGGAGCCAGAAGGTACTGTAACTAGTAAATGTTCTGTAACATGCTCATCTTGAGATACACCTAATGGGTACATCTGTAGAAGAGGATAAACTACCGTGTCGGATCCAGAATTGGTTGCCAAAAGTGATGAGGTAATTGTGACTAAATTGAAACTTTTGCTACAGAGAAATTTTGATAAACGTTGGTACGCCTCCTCTGAAAACTTACGTGGATCACCTAAAAGAAAATCAAATCTTGTACAGAAATAAACTGATTAAAACCAGTGAAGAAACTGTTTACTTGTATTAAATGTTAAGAAATGAAGTACTAATAACATGAGGCAATATTCAGTTTTCAAATTTAAAATATGAAGAAATTTAGGTTTAAAAACTGTAGCTAAGAATGAACTGAAACTTAACCTATTTATGATATCGATACAGTGTTTTACATTGACATAGCACTAATGTAACTTTCCATATCTTGTAAATCTCAAGTTTTTTTCACAATTGAAACAAACACAATAGTTTCTGTTATCCTATAAAGGTAATGTTATAACTCAAAGCAAAATGTCAACTGCTCATAATGGAGGAAATAAAAAAACTTGTATCATTTGCTACACTTTTGTTTTTATAAATAAGCTTTAGTGAATACACAATGAAAGTCAACAGCTAACCCTAAATTCAGGCTTAACTAATGTTGTTAAAATGTTCTACTATATATGACATTTAGTGTAGAAGAATCCTTTGTTAAAATAACTCTCCTTTGACCAATTCACACAAAATATTTCTTGAAAATAGCTATAAGTAGAAGTATATCCTTTAATTAAAAGAAAAAAGATCTACTCAGAGACACCTATTTCTTAAACAAACTTCTGCAATCTGTGAATTAACTAGTAATGACTAATGAGCTCAATGCTTTAGCTGAAAATAGCTTGAAATTAAATACATCTTATTGTTCACTACAGAAGTTATGAAAGTCAACTGCCAAATTCAAACAAGCAAAAACTGAATTTTGGAAAGTTGATAAATAAACAAGATACTATTTTAACAATTAGACAGTAACACAATGATTAATCTGTATTTTCTTCATATACTCTAATCCTACAATATATGTATTCAATAAATATCTATAATGTTCATAAACAAATAATTGCTTTCTTTAAAGTTTTTATTTTTGGGTTACTGAGTACTGAATAAAAAAAAGTACATTCACATACCTTTTTCAGGATGAACAGTCCAGTTTGGATGAAGTGATAAATTATCGTCTGGCATCAACTGAAGAGAGAAGGAGGACACTGTCTGGACTAAACTGTGAAAATAGTCAGCTAATGCTTCACAGTTGTTGAACACAACATATCTATCCTGCCTCATTGTAAAGTAGTTGTCACTGAGATTGGCCCTAGAATATCACACCAAAGAAATTCTTATTACTCATTCTTCTTACTAAATTTTACAGAGCTATGCTATACAAATGAAATGGGACTCAAATGACACATGAAGAAATTATCTAATATTTTACAACAGTTTGTATTAGAAATTTTGTTTTGCTCACACTGACTAACACAAATATATACACTCCGTACATATTTATTAGTTCAACGTAAAATAATTTATGTGGCTATTCCAAGACTAGAATCCAGTTGGATCTTCAAGCAATATTAATAGGAAACCTTGTTCAGTTCAATCATATAAATAAATGTTTATTCAAACAATAAATTAAATCCTTTCATCATTCACATAACTTATTTCTGTGGAATATAAAGAATTTTCTTGGAAAAGTGAAATTAAAATTTGTGTAAAAGAATTACCCACTGAGTACCAAGGTGTTATCAAAAAGATAAATCTTAAGATGTGTTAAACTGATGATTTCATTCCATCTTTCTGGTAACAGCTTCTTAATCCAGCCTCGCAAAGCTGGTGCATGATAGAGAGACACCTGCATGCGACCTGGAAAATCTTGAATCAGGGGCAACAACAACGTCCTGGAGTTTTTTATACCTCTTGATCCTCGAGTTACATCCAGTAATACTTGTACTTCACAGTCTGCATTGGCGAGAGCTGTTCGCAAGCTGGATACCTAGAGTTTAAACATTGCTGATAGAATTACAAAAACTGAACAGAGTAGAAATAAGAACAGAAATAACAAAACTCTTCAAATATTACAATTGAAGTTACATATAATAATTTCACAGACAACAATGACCTGTTAGTTTCACAATTGTGGTTTTATCACATAAATTTGTTTCATCTCACAAACCTTTTCTTAACGCTATTCCATAATTAAAAACTTTACACTGCATCAAGGTGGCTATAAGTAAAGGACCAAGTTCGTTCACAAAGGGTAAAATTAAAGAAGACATTGTAAGTATAAGAAGTTAACTGCAAAGATGGCAGATCGAGGATTATAGAAAATGATGAAAAGTGATAAAACAAAACACCAGGAAATCAAAGAGGATATATGAAAAACAGTTTGCTGAAAATGTATAATTTAACAGTAAAAATTTCTTTATATACATTAAGGATAAGCAAAATATTGGGATGTGAACTTTGAAGTACGATAATGAAGGCTAGTATCCGATTATTACAATGATGGCTGTGCTAGTAAACTTTTTTCTTAAAATTACACCATAAAGATTTAAGCAACAATCTTCATCCTAAACAGATGATAGATGGAAAAGATCTAATAAAATGATCATTTTACTTCTGGAAAGGAAGTTGAAAGGATGATAAAGCTTCTGGGCAAAATATTTACCCAAGGGTTTTGAAGGAGGTAAAGGATTAAATAAATGAGCCACTTGCTACTGCTTTTTCTAAGTCTTTCAATAGTGGGCAGGAAGTTGATTAATGTTACTTCTATGTTTAAAGGAGGTGATAAAAACTATCCCAGTAATTATAGACCCATTAGTCTTACATCAGGTGATAAAACTAACCCAGTAATTACAGACCCATTAGTCTTACATCAGGTGATAAAAACTAACCCACTAATTATAGACCCGTTAGTCTTACATCAGGTAATAAAAACTATCCCAGTAATTATAGACCCATTAGTCTTACATCAGGTAATAAAAACTATCCCAGTAATTATAGACCCATTAGTCTTACATCAGGTGATAAAAACTAACCCAGTAATTATAGACCCATTAGTCTTACATCAGGTGATAAAAACTAACCCAGTAATTATAGACCCATTAGTCTTACATCAGTTGTGGGAAAAGTTTTGAAAGTCTGGTAAAAGATGCTTTGCAAAGTCCTTTAACAAAGTTTAAAATTGTGTTGGATAGTCAACATGGTTTCACTAAGGGAAACTCTTACTTCGCTATTATTTTGACATTCTTTTAAGAGGTTACTTCTTATGTAGATGAGAGTAAAGATGTGTCTGGATTTTCAGAAAGCATTTGACAAGGTTCAACATAAAAGGTTTGTAAAAAAATTAGCTCTATAGTTGTGGGGGATAATTTGGTTCATTGGATAGAAGAGTGGCTGGATGGAAGAAAGCAGAGGGTTGTTAAAAATGAAGTTCAATCAAACTAGATTAATGTCACAAGTGGGGTACCTTAAAACTTATTCTTAGGACTTTAGGATCAGGTTGAGGTATTTAAGATTATTAAGAGATAAGGTTGAGGTGTTTAAGATTGTTAAGGGATAAGGTTGAGGTGTTTAAGATTGTTAAGGGATAAGGTTGGGGTGTTTAAGATTGTTAAGGGATAAGGTTGGAGTGTTTAAGATTGTTAAGGGATAAGGTTGGAGTGTTTAAGATTGTTAAGGGATAAGGTTGGAGTGTTTAAGATTGTTAAGGGATAAGGTTGGAGTGTTTAAGATTGTTAAGGGATAAGGTTGGGGTGTTTAATATTGTTAATGGATAAGGTTGAGGTGTTTAATATTGTTAATGGATAAGGTTGAGGTGTTTAAGATTGTTAAGGGATAAGGTTGAGGTGTTTAAGATTGTTAAGGGATAAGGTTGAGGTGTTTA